GAAGTGTATGGCAGCCAAAGACTCTAAACGCGTGACGTTGACGCTAAATGTGAAGGGAAGCAACCGGAGGACCCGCAGAAAAATCAACGCGACCACGGGGATAGAGAGACGCCGACTCCAAATATACAGCAGCAGCAGGCGTCAGGGTCGGGATCGAACCCACGACCTCCTGCATACCAAGCGAGGTAGTTAACATCTCCTAGCCACCGTCATGATGAGAGAGAGATGAACGCCAACTCCAAATATACAGCAGCAGCAGGCGTCAGGGTCGGGATCGAACCCACGACCTTCTGTATACCGGGCGAGGTAGTTAACATCTCCTAGCCACCGTGGCGCTCTGGGGCGGGGTGGCTCGCTGTATTTTTTCTTCCTTCCCTTGGCTGATTTATCACCAACTGTTCGCTTTGGTTACTCAGAGTTGAAGAGAGTAAACAGTTCCCTTGAATGAAGACCTGGGCGAGGAAAGCAAACGCATTAAAACAGGAAGAGAGCGAAAGAAACAAACGGGCAGAAAAATGGATAAAGACATTTCAACATTTGCACACATGTCAGAAATGAGAATCAATACGGGTGTGGCGAGCAAGCGCGACTCTGGATGCTGAGACAATCTTAGGGGCCGTCCATAAATGACGTCACGCACCTAAGGGGGGGGGGGGGGGGGGTCAGACATTTGTGACGATGTGTGACGAGGGGGGGGGGGGGGGTTGAGAAATGTGACGTCACATCAAAATGCGCAACTTTAAATAAATATAGACAACACCTTCCAATTAATTAAATAGACTTTTAAAAAAAAAATGTTTTCTCCTACAACATCAGAGTGCAGCGCCACATTAAATACGCACTATAATGACAATAGTTTAAAGCGATTTGAAGAATGTTTTATTTATTTTTAGGGGGGGGAGGCAGAGCTTTGTGACGTCATATTTGAGGGGGGGGGGTCTGACTTTTTGTGACGCCATCTGACGATGGGGGGGGGGGGTCAAAAATCGTCCCAAATCGCGTGACGTCATTTATGGACGGCCCCTTATCCGATGTGGAGCCGCTTGACTCAAGGCGCTTGACATCGTTTAAATAAAATAAACAAAGAGCGGTGACATGAGGACAGAATGACTTAGACGAAGCGTGCAAAGGGTGAGGTACGAATGACCGTGACAGAGGGGCACGTGGGGGGTTACGAAGAGGTGTGGGGGGGAGGGACAGGAAGGAGTTGATGGAGCGAGGGGAGGGAAGAGGAAGGGAATGGGCGATAGAGAAGAAGTGAGGCTCTACAAAAGGGACGGAAGGAGGGGGACAGTGTTGAGTCTGTGGGCAGTGTTGAGTCTATGGGCAGTGATGGGTCTATGGGCAGTGCTGAGTCTATGGGCAGTGTTGAGTCTATGGGCAGTGTTGAGTCTATGGGTAGTGTTGAGTTTATGGGCAGTGCTGAGTCTATGCGTAGTGTTGAGTCTATGGGCAGTGTTGAGTCTATGGGCAGTGTTGAGTCTGTGGGCAGTGTTGAGTCTATGGGCAGTGCTGAGTCTATGGGCAGTGTTGAGTCTATGGGCAGTGTTGAGTCTATGGGCAGTGCTGAGTCTATGGGCAGTGTTGAGTCTGTGGGCAGTGTTGAGTCTATGGGCAGTGCTGAGTCTATGGGCAGTGTTGAGTCTATGGACAGTGCTGAGTCTATGGGCAGTGCTGAGTCTATGAGCAGTGTTGAGCCTATGGGTAGTGTTGAGTCTATGGGCAGTGTTGAGTCTATGTGCAGTATTGAGTCTATGGGCAGTGTTGAGTCTAAGGGTAGTGTTGAGTCTATGGGCAGTGCTGAGTCTATGGGCAGTGTTGAGTCTATGGGCAGTGCTGAGTCTATGAGCAGTGCTGAGTCTATGGGCAGTGTTGAGTCTATCGGCAGTGCTGAGTTTATGGGCAGTGTTGAGTCTATGGGCAGTGCTGAGTCTATGCGCAGTGCTGATTCCATGGGCAGTGCTGAGGCTATGGGCAGTGTTGAGTCTATGGGCAGTGCTGAGTCTATGGGCAGTGCTGAGTCTATGGGCAGTGTTGAGTCTATCGGCAGTGCTGAGTTTATGGGCAGTGTTGAGTCTATGGGCAGTGCTGAGTCTATGCGCAGTGCTGATTCCATGGGCAGTGCTGAGGCTATGGACAGTGTTGAGTCTATGGGCAGTGCTGAGTCTATGGGCAGTGTTGAGTCTATGGGCAGTGTTGAGTCTATGGGCAGTGCTGAGGCTATGGGCAGTGTTGAGTCTATGGGCAGTGTTGAGGCTATGGGCAGTGCTGAGTCTATGGGCAGTCTTGAGTCTATGGGCAGTTTCATTTCGATTTAAAGCTTTCGTGACTGCAAGGATTCATCTTCTTTGGTTCTTTCGGAAAAGTCACATAAAATGAGAATAAAATAATAAAATAAAACAATAAAATTATCACGACGTTTCAGCCACAACACAAGTAGCCGTCCTCAGGTGAAGAAACAGGACTGTCCAGAAGACAGCGCTTGAATGAACCCTGTCAAGCTTGACAGCATCTTTTAAGCTGTGTGGGAGGAACAGAGAGCCTTGACAAAGGAGCATGTAACTGGGAGATTAGCATTACGGAGAGCGAACGAGCTGGGACTGGAGGAGGGGGGAGGGGAGTTTACATATAAATTAGCATGTAACTGGGGGATCAGCATGATGTTGGTGTGAGGGATTAGCACCAAGGCGTCTAAGGGTGGTCAAGACGGCAGCGACGAAGGTGATGAACAGCGACACAGTGAGGGGGATCCACTTCCAGCAACAGCCCCTCGCCCTCGCCCCGGGACCCCTTTTATCCTCCCGGGCGTGGCCTCTCTCCGCCCTCGACACACCCCCTTTCTGGAACCTACTAGCAGGTTCCCGGGCTTCCAGATGGACCCCTTCCTGAGCTTCTCTCTAATTCTCCTCACCCCCGTATATACTCCCTCTGCTGACGTGTATACTGCCCTCTGCTGTCAGTACCACTTTTCCATCAGCAGCCAGCGTTATTACACTACATTTGTAAGAACGGCTTTTGGTCCGCTCTTATGACTGTGCTGCTGCTACCATCAATCTGCGAGTCGTCGCATCCGATGGAGCAATCAAAAGCGACGACTCGGTGCGCGTATTAGTTATTTATTTGCAGTATCTCAATGGTATTAACATTTGCGCGCTTGGAGGTATATTCACAGATTCACTGACCAATGGCTGCACTGTCATGCCCGTCTCGGAATATTTTTCTCTTGGTTTTAGAAAAAAAAATGCGAGTTCTGGACGGCGTTTCAATGTAGTTATTGATCAGTGAGTATATACGCAATGGCAATTGTTTTAAAAGTCGGTTCCCAGCAAGCATGGGACCGCTAGCATACTTGAAACTAAAGTGGGTCCCGTCAAGGCGAGTTCCCCAATTTGCACTTGTGCAACGATTTTTCCCATAATTCCTGTTACCGCCGTTCGCGCCACATACCTGTTCGTACCGACGTTAAACAGCGAGCGTTGGGCGGCAACAAGTCAAATATATAATTTGAAATAATAGTAGCCGACGCTCCAGTATCAATTAATTATAAGCGTACCGCCACTCCCCCCACTGAACCCATGACCACAGAGGTTCCCGTGGCTGCCGCTACAACCCTCCAAGACAGCTTCTTCCACTGGTTGCCCGACTCGGGCCACCGGTTGAAAAGCGAGTCCCGAGCTTCTTGAGGAGATTTTGCGACCTCGTTACCCCCGACGCTCGTCGATTTAGATGGTACATGCGACATGGTGATGGACGCGGTGATTGACGATGAGTCCCTAGATGGAGGAGGTGATTATTTTTAGCCGTGTGTCTGAGGTGTCACGACTCGCCTGGTGTTGAGGTGCCGCGGTAGTTGATGGAGAGTTGGACGTCGTCGCTGGCAGCGGGTCGCCCTTGCAACCCCACGCGATGTGGCCGGGTCGGCCGCAGCGATGGCGGGTCATGGGCGGCCCCCGTCGCGGAATCGCCGTCTCTCTCCTGGGCCCGGTCCATCCACGGACCGCCGCGACCACCTCCCGCGGGTCCCCGCCGATCTCTGCTGCTGCCGCGATGAGGAGGGCATCGGCGATGGCGCAGCCGACAGGGGTCGGGGCTCCCCTCCATCCGAGCCACCACCCGAGTCCGCTGGCTCATCCCCTCGTGGGCCCGCAGGCATCGAGCCACCCACAAAGAACCCTGGGCCTCCTCTTCCGCTATGGGAAGCACGTCGCCATCTCCTGGACCAACGTCAACATTTTTTTCAAATACCAGTGAGTCCAGCGCCGTCTCGTCAAGTCAATTCGTTACTCGTACAGCGCGCCGATGTGTTGGAGAGCAAAGCCACAACATTTACAATTAGATTTACATTCAGATTTTAAATGTTGTGGCTTGGCATGTTCTGTTTACGTGACAAACCTTACTAATTGACTGTGTCGGGTGGTGGCGGGTTTAACGACCCAAAAAAAAACTCTATTATGGATGATATTGGTCGCGAAGGCCTACGTGTTAAACATTACCGCATATTTAGATTTAAAGCTTTCGTGACTGCAATGATTCATCTTCTTTAGTTCTTTCGGTAAAGTCACGTAGAATGAGAATAAAATAATAAATTGATAAAATAAAATAACACAATAATATTCTCACGACGTTTCGGCCACAACACAAGCGGCCTTCATCAGGTGAAGGGACGAGACTGTCTGGTAGGACGAAACGTCGTGAGAATATTGTGTCCTACCAGACAGTCTCGTCCCTTCAACTGATGAAGGCCGCTTGTGTTGTGGCCGAAACGTCGTGAGAATATTATTGTGTTATTTTATTTTATCAATTTATTATTTTATTTTCATTCTACGTGACTTTACCGAAAGAACCAAAGAAGATTACCGCATATATTAAAGAAACTTTCCCGCCAAATATTGAAAAAAATTCAAATTTTGCGTAACCGCCCCCTCCGGCTGAAGCGGACCAATCAGCGCGCGGTTGGCGGTGGGGGGGAGGGGCGGCGGTGGGGGTAGGGTGGGGGGCTATCTGGCAAATCCCGCGGGCCCAAGTCTCAGGGCAGTTCTCACGAGAACTCGAACGAGACTTGAGAGCGCGGAGAGACCGGTCCAGCGAGGAGGAGACGGAGCAATGGTGAGGGGAGGGAGGCGGGGAGAGCAACACTGGGACAGAGCAGAGAGACACGTGGCGGAGGTGTAGAGAGAGACAGCCGGAGGGAGAGACAGGCGGAGGGAGAGACAGGCGGGGAGGGTTTGCCGTGCGGTGGTGGGACGCGGTTCGTCCAATTGCGACAGAGACGCGGACAGGCCCAGGCTGCGCGCACTGTACGCACAAGCGACCCGAGCAGTGTTACAGTGCGTCCTGTACGTGTGTGTAAGGTGCACCTAGCCTGGCACAAGCGCCGCGGTGACTTCACCGCCGCTTTGTAGCGAACGACTGTTTTGTGGGGAGCTGTGGCGCGTTGGTCAGCGCGCTGGGCCACGAACCCGGCGACCCGAGTTCGATTCCCGCTCACGGCCAACACCAGGGACAGGTATCTGAACCAGTAAATAGGTCTCCCCTAGGTCGACTCGGCCTCAAATAAGCACCTTGTGCGATGCGTAAACATCGCCACTGAGGAGACAAAGGCGGTCGAGTGTGGTGCTCGCCACCCATCCCCTCGTGTGCCGTGCCGGCTTTTATAGGTGCTCGCTAACAGCACTTGCCCCAACAAACAGCCTGCTTAGGCTATACGGGGAATCTTGTTTGCAGTTAACCCATAACACCTGTTTCTCTCGTCGCTTGTCGGCGACAAGAAGCTTCCACACCTCACGTACACCTAGCCTGGCACAAGTGCTGAGGTGACGTCACCGCCACTTAGTGGCGAATGGCGGCTGTTGTGGCACCGCGGTGGCTAGGAGATGTTAACTACCTCGCCTGGTGTGCAGGAGGACGTGGGTTCGATCCCAACTCTCCCACCTGCTGTATATTTGTAGTCTGTGTGTCATCACGGTGGCTAGGAGATGTTAACTACCTCGCCTGGTGTGCAGGAGGTCGTGGGTTCGATCCCGACCCTGACGCCTGCTGCTGCTGCTGTATATTTGGAGTGTGCGTGTTCTCCCCGTGGTCGGGTGGGATTTTTCTTTCATTATTTAGAGATGAACGTCAGGCGTTTAGAGTATTTCGCTGCTATAAATGTGCACGTGATAATTAGCTTGGTAGAGGTATTATTTGTGATAGCCAGGTCGCTTCTGAAAAAGAGCTGTACATCTCAGTGGGCCTTGCTTGGTAAAATTTAAATAAAAGATTGTGTGCAGTATTAAATCTGCTTGTGTCGATATCGACACAAAAATCACAGATTTGAGAATACGCGCAGCGTAGAGACCTCATCCCCCTTGAGAAGTGAGTGAGGCTTCAGCAGGACGCGTCCCGGCCAGACGCAACGATGGAGGGAGGGAGGTATTTATACTCTGGGCAACCGCTTGGGAATCTCACCTGCCCTGCCACCTTTGTTTCCCTCTACTGCCTCACTAATTATCTGTGTGCACTTGCGGAGCCAGTGGGGGAGGTGGGGTGACACGTGCCCCCCAATGATCCGATCGAAATCCCTAATTTCGATCGGATCATTGGGGTTTATTAGTAATAAATCGGCATTTTGCGACTGCCACTGTGTAGCATATTGTTACGTGCCAGGGACTCTATGAGATGATAGGACAATAGTCTGAGTCCATAATTGGCAATAAGTAACGGCAAAGCAGTTATAAGCGACTCAGAATTGTGCGCAGTTGCGTATCCAGTCCACGACTTCCCTGAAGACATTAACACCTTCAGCGAGCGCGATGCCGATCACAACGCGGTTCGAATTCGACCCCTCGATCGATGGCTGCGCCATCGCCGCACACGCTTCGAATAAAAAGCAAGGGACAAGTCCTTACTAACAACTCCTTACTTGCTAACAACTCCTTACTAACAACGTCTTACTAACAACTATCATTTTTCATTGCTGGAGGGGTTGCCCCCCCTACCTGAAAATCCTGGCTCTGCCATTGTATGTGTGCGCCCTCTGCTCCCTCGGCTTGTCTGCCGTGTGTGTGTGCTGTTTGCTGCTGGTTGTGCGGCGGTTAGCGCACTGCACCACAAACCTGTTGAATAACAGTTCGATTCCCGGTCACGGCCACCAACACAAGTGAATATTATCTGCACCAATTCTGCGCCTGAATCGGTCGACTCGGCCTAAAATGAGTACTTGGTGCAATGTGTAAAACTTCACCAAAACTAAACAATTTAATGTTACCAGGTAAGGCCCACTGAGCTATGTATCTCTTTTTCAGAAGAGACTTGGCCACAAATGATCGCCCAACGAAGTGCCCTGTGGAAATTTATAGCAGCAGCCAAATACACTAAACGCATCTTGATTCTAAATGTGGAGGGAAAATCCAGATGGAGGACCCGCAGAAAAGTATATGCGACCATGGGGAGAGAGACACCGCAAACTCCAAATATACAGCAGGCATCAGGGTTATGATCGAACCCACAACCTCCTGTATACCAGGCAAGGTAGTTAACATCTCGCGGCGCCCGAACGATAGAGCCACAGCCAAATGAGGGAATGCACTGAGGGCATGGCCACTGTGGAGATGGAGCGATGGAATTGGCTCGAGTGCTTCAGCGATTTAGGCATCCTGAGGTGGTGTGTGAGAGGCGGAGATGGCTTGGGGAGGCCTTCATCCAGCAGTGGATAGGTCACGGCTGATGATGTGTGTGTGTGTGTGTCTCACAGTTGTTCTACTCATTCTTCAAGTCCCTGGTGGGCAAAGACGTGGTGGTGGAGCTCAAGAATGACCTCAGGTAAAATCCAGGACCTGGGTTCGAATCCGGATATCAGCCACCCAACCACTGGTGAAACTGGGTTCTCAAGTGCAGCGAGTTGAAGGTCTCAGCTGGGTCACCAGTGACTCGCATAGAGACAGAGACCCATTAGACACACACAAACATGTGCACTTATACACAGACTGAGTTGTGATTAAACTGGGTTCATAAGTGTAGCGAATTGAGTCTCGGTCCGGTCACCAATGACCCACACAGAAACCCATAGAATCATATAGACACCCATATATTCACACACAGACTTTGTCACCCATAGCTTATACACAGGCCCACAGAACACATGGCTGGGCACAATGGGTATGTGTTGTGATGTAAGTAGTGTGTTGGTGATGGGCGTATGTGGTTTGTGTGTTGTAACACTGTCCTCTGTTCACCCACAGTATCTGTGGGACGCTACACTCCGTAGACCAGGTGAGTTTGTGTGCAACCAAATCGCCCTTAATGTGCCCAATCTCGTTCGGTCTCAGACGCTAATCAGGATTGAACCTACCGAGTACATTGGTGGGTGACCACCAGGGCTTGTCAGGTGTTGTGCACTAGGAGGGGATTAGTAGAGTTAGATCAGACGGGAGAGACAGTGAGTGGAGGGGATTAGGTGAGTGATATGAGAGGGAAGAGGTAGGAGAGTGCATGGAAGGGAGTAGAGTGAGGGGAGAGGTAGGAGAGTGCGTGGAGGGGAGTAGAGTGAGATGAGAGGGGAGAAGTAGGAGAGAGTCGTGGTTAGGAGTTGGCCGTTCACACTGGAGTGTTCTACTTTGTGGACTCACTCCCGATGAGGAACATTTATCCTGACGTAACTTGTGTGCTGTGACCATTGACCTAACCTGTGTGAGTCTCGCCCTCTGCAGTACCTTAACATCAAGCTGACCGACATCAGTGTCACTGACCCCGAGAAGTACCCACACATGGTGAGTGGTGACCCTTCACTCTCCCATTACTTTTTATTTATTCTGCTGTTTAGCTTTTTATTTTATTCAGAAGCGACCTTGCCACAAACGAGAGCTCAGTGAAGTGGCTTTATCGCAGCCAAATATTCTTAACGCGTGATGTTGATTCTAAATGTGGAGAGAAAAACCTGAGGACCCGAAAAAAATGCACGTGACCACGGAGAGACGCGCAAACTACAAATTTACAACAGGCATCAGGGTCGGGATCAAACCCATGAATGACCTCTATACCAGGCAAGGGAGTTAATAGCTATATAGCTCCAGTGGGCCTTACCTGGTAAAATAAAAAAATAGTAAATAGTTTAGCATGGAGGGCGATACACTCGCACAGATTAAATTGGGTTCTCAAATGTAGCGAGTTATTATTGCTGGAAAATTCATCACCATATTTTAATCCCACCCTCTACTCCCTCTTGCCTCCTCTGTCTCTCCTCTTTTCCCTCCTCTCTCCCCACCTCTCCCTCTTTCCCTCCCTCTTTCCCTCCCTCTATCATTCTCTCTCCCCCCCCCCCTTGTCCCTGTAGCTCTCGGTGAAGAACTGCTTTATCCGGGGTTCCGTCGTCCGCTACGTGCAGCTCCCGGCAGACGAGGTGGACACGCAGCTCCTGCAGGACGCCGCGCGAAAGGAGGCCACACAGCAGAAGCAGTAGACACGGAGACGTGGAGACACGGAGACACGGGGACACGGGGACATGGGGACAGAGATATGGGGGCGATGAGATGCAGGGGACAGATACAGTGACGTGGGAACGAAGAGAGATGAGGACGTGGGGACGATGAGACACGGGGACAATGGTATGCGAGGACAAAGATATGGAGATGCAGGGACACGGACATGATGAGACATGGCCAAAACAAAGATGTGGGGACCCAGGGAATTATGGGACACAGGGATGATGAGACATGGGAACACAGGCATGTGGGGGCAGGGAGATGCAGAAATATGAGGACATAGAAACAAAGAGATAGGGGTAAGCGGGGAGACACGAGGAGACGGATACACGGACACATCTGGGCACAGTGCAGGGAGCACGGTGCCAGGTTGCGTGCGAGAGATTTGTGGGCAGGGGGTGGAGCGCCCTGAGGCATCCAGTTGTTGAGATGAGGTTGTGAGGGTCCAGAAGATCAGAGTCTCGATTGAGACCGAGCTGCAGGAGACCACCTTCAAGACCAATGTCTTCAGACTTGGTTCCTAGGCACAGTTTGTGGGCCGGGGCTGGGCCATGCTGAGATAATGGCCGTACTCAGGTGGCGGCCTTAGGACGGGGTGGTGACCTTTGCCTAGTTGTGGGAAGCTACAGACTGACAACAGTCACAACAACACCGAACACCGACACGACGCTTGCAGAGTGAGTAGGTAGTGAGTGACTGGAACCGGAGTGATTGGAACCAGAGTGACTGGAACCGTAGTCTCGACACAGCAGGGAGAGGCGAGTAAAGTTGGCCTCCCTGTGTCTTCTCAACGTCTCTTCTCCCCATGTCTCGCTGTGTCTTCTCCCTGTGTCTCGTTCCTGTGCCTCTCTGTGTCTCCCTCCCCGTTTCTCCTCCCCATGTCTCCTCTGTGGCTCCTCCCCGTGAATTGTAAGTGAATGTTCGTACGGAGTCGGTTTTTGTTTCGTTTGGTGCGGGTGTCATTTGTTTTGTTTTTTTATAAATAAACGTGTACAGCACTGCTGCCTGCCGTCCCCGTGTGGTATCGTATTTAGCGAGGACACATCCCTCACTCGCGGCATCATCGGCTTACGTGGGAAGGCCTCGCCCGAGTCTCAAAACGCATTTTCAGGAGGGCGCGGCTACATTGGTGGTTTTAGTTGTTTCATAATCATCAGCGGTGATCATTAATAAAGGTGAAGCAAACTCCCACAGCACGTTAAACAATCATTTCCACCAACTGGCTTCCGTTCCTCTCCTAAAACAACCTCCATCTCTTCCCCCCGTGCCCATCATCCAGCTGCTACTGATAGTCCCTGTCTCCCAGTTACGACCAGGTCTCGCCCAACCCCTATCACTACCCAAACCTCTATCACTACCCTTATCTCACTACCCCAACCCCTATAACTGCCCCAACCCCTATCACTACCCCTATAACTACTCCATCTCACTACCCCAACCCCTGTCTTGCTACCCAACCCCTATCTCACTACCCCTATCACAACCCCATCTTACTACCCCAACCCCTATCTCAATACCCCTATATCACTACCATAACCCCTATCACTACCCCTTTCCCACTAGCCCAACCCCTATCTTACTACCCCTATCTCATCACCCCAACCCCTATCACTACCTCTATCTCACTACCTCAACCCCCATCACTACCCCAACTCCTATCACGACCCCAGCCCCATCACCTCCCCAATCTCACTACCCTAACCCCTATCATTACTGCAACCCCACTACCCCTATCTCACTACCCCAACCCCTTTCACTACCCCTATCACTACCCCTATCTCACTATCTCAACCCCCATCACTCCCCCAACTCCTATCACTACCCCAGCCCCATCACCTCCCCAATCTCACTACCCTAACCTCTATAATTAACGCAACCCCTATCACTACTCAGCCCCCATCACTACCCTAGCCCCTAATACTACCCCCACCCATATCACTACCCCAACCACTTTTGTCATAACTACATCACTACCCCACTCTTTATCTCAACCACTAACGTCTTATGTACAATTTTAAAATTGTAAAGTGCCTTGGAATAAGGCACTATTTTAATCTTTATAAGCTGAGTTGACTGGCGGTGATGATGGCGGAGCTGATATTGATTGTAACTACCGATAGTGTATATGTATCTCTGAGTCTCTACGTATCTCTCTGAGTCTATTGCTATGGGGTTACTTTACGTTCCATAGTGTGGGTTGCATGACCCCTATCGCATTGCTGTGGCTTGTGTATTTATTGAATGTCTGTGTATTGCTATGAGTGTATATTTATGTGTCTCTGGGTTTACGATGTGGTCCATAGTGTGGGTTGCATGACTACAATCGCACGTCTGTGGCTTGTGTATTTAATATATCTATGAGTTTGTGTGTCTCTAAGTCTATACAGTGAGGGAAAAAAGTATTTGATCCCCTGCTGATTTTGTACGTTTGCCCACTGACAAAGAAATGATCAGTCTATAATTTTAATGGTAGGTTTATTTGAACAGTGAGAGACAGAATAACAACAAAAATCCAGAATAACGCATGTCAAAAATGTTATAAATTGATTTGCATTTTAATGAGGGAAATAAGTATTTGACCCCTCTGCAAAACATGACTTAGTACTTGGTGGCAAAACCCTTGTTGGCAATCACAGAGGTCAGACGTTTCTTGTAGTTGGCCACCAGGTTTGCACACATCTCAGGAGGGATTTTGTCCCACTCCTCTTTGCAGATCTTCTCCAAGTCATTAGGGTTTCGAGGCTGACGTTTGGCAACTCGAACCTTCAGCTCCCTCCACAGATTTTCTATGGGATTAAGGTCTGGAGACTAGGCCACTCCAGGACCTTAATGTGCTTCTTCTTGAGCCACTCCTTTGTTGCCTTGGCCGTGCGTTTTGGGTCATTGTCATGCTGGAATTACCCATCCACGACCCATTTTCAATGCCCTGGCTGAGGGAAGGAGGTTCTCACCCAAGATTTGACGGGACATGGCCCCGTCCATCGTCCTGTCCCCTTAGCAGAAAAACACCCCCAAAGCATAATGTTTCCACCTCCATGTTTGACGGTGGGGATGGTGTTCTTGGGGTCATAGGCAGCATTCCTCCTCCTCCAAACACGGCGAGTTGAGTTGATGCCAAAGAGCTCCATTTTGGTTTCATCTGACCACAACACTTTCACCCAGTTGTCCTCTGAATCATTCAGATGTTCATTGGCAAACTTCAGACTGGCATGTATATGTGCTTTCTTGAGCAGGGGGACCTTGCGGGCACTGCAGGATTTCAGTCCTTCACAGCGTAGTGTGTTACCAATTGTTTTATTGGTGACTATGGTCCCAGCTGCCTTGAGATCATTGACAAAATCCTCCCGTGTAGTTCTGGGCTGATTCCTCACCGTTCTCATAATCATTGCAACTCCACGAGGTGAGATCTTGCATGGAGCCCCAGGCCGAGACAGATTGACAGTTCTTTTGTGTTTCTTCCATTTGCGAATAATCGCACCAACTGTTGTCACCTTCTCACCAAGCTACTTGGCAATGGTCTTGTAGCCCATTCCAGCCTTGTGTAGGTCTACAATCTTGTCCCTGACATCCTTGGAGAGCTCTTTGGTCTTGGCCGTGGTGGAGAGTTTGGAATCTAATTGATTGATTGCTTCTGTGGACAGGTGTCTTTTATACAGGTAACAAGCTGAGATTAGGAGCACTCCCTTTAAGAGTGCTCCTAATCTCAGCTCGTTACCTGTATAAAAGCCACCTGGGAACCAGAAATCTTTCTGATTGAGAGGGGGTCAAATACTTATTTCCCTCATTAAAATACAAATCAATTTATAACATTTTTGACATGCGTTTTTCTGGATTTTGTTGTTGTTATTCTGTCTCTCACTGTTCAAATAAACCTACCATTAAAATTATAGACTGATAATTTCTTTGTCAGTGGGCACATATACATGCCCGTCTGAAGTTTGCCAATGAACATCTGAATGATTCAGAAGACAACTGGGTGAAAGTGTTGTGGTCAGATGAGACCAAAATGGAGCTCTTTGGCATCAACTCAACTCGCCGTGTTTGGAGGAGTAGGAATGCTGCCTATGACCCCAAGAACACCATCCCAACCGTCAAACATGGAGGTGGAAACATGCTTTGGGGGTGTTTTTCTGCTAAGGGGACAGGACAACTTCACCGCATCAAAGGGACGATGGACGGGGCCATGTCCCGTCAAATCTTGGGTGAGAACCTCCTTCCCTCAGCCAGGGCATTGAAAATGGGTCGTGGATGGGTATTCCAGCATGACAATGACCCAAAACACACGGCCAAGGCAACAAAGGAGTGGCTCAAGAAGAAGCACATTAAGGTCCTGGAGTGGCCTAGCCAGTCTCCAGACCTTAATCCCATTGAAAATCTGTGGAGGGAGATGAAGGTTCGAGTTGCCAAACGTCAGCCTCGAAGCCTTAATGACTTGGAGAAGATCTGCAAAGAGGAGTGGGACAAAATCCCTCCTGAGATGTGTGCAAACCTGGTGACCAACTACAAGAAACGTCTGACCTCTGTGATTGCCAACAAGGGTTTTGCCACCAAGTACTAAGTCATGTTTTGCAGAGGGGTCAAATACTTATTTCCCTCATTAAAATGCAAAGAAATTAATAACATTTTTGACGTGCGTTTTTTCTGGATTTTTTGTTGTTATTCTGTCTCTCACTGTTCAAATAAACCTACCATTAAAATTATAGACCGATCATTTCTTTGTCAGTGGGCAAACGTACAAAATCAGCAGGGGATCAAATACTTTTTTCCCTCACTGCATATCTCTATATCTATGAGTCTATCTTTTTAAGTCTTACTCTACAGTCCATAGTGTGGGCTGCGTGGCTTCACCAATCCGTGACTGTCTTCACGTTTTCGCTCATGAAGGAGAAGTAGCGCAGCATTGGCCTGCAGACGATGTTCTCATGCGGTCGATGGTTCCACCACCAGTGTGGTTGAGGAGGAGTGTCAAATCCAATGAAGACGGGCAAATGCCTGAAACGTTGCCTATTGCACGTAAAAATGTAAGGCCATACAAATGTTAAGGACTGCGCTGAGATATTTTATTTGTTCTTTCGCACCACTGGCAACGCAGCAGCATTCTCAGGGTGGGGGGGGGGGGGCACTTTTGCCCGATAAGATATCATTGCGAGAGATAGAAGCGAGAGTCTGACTGCGGCCGACGTAACAAAAAAAATCGACGTTTCTCATACAGGACCCTACCCATCAAGCCCCCCCCCCCTCCGATTTCAACCTTCCCACGCCGCCAACAGTCGACCATCGACCGAACCAGACTTGGGGGGGGGGGGGGGGGGGGGGGGGGGGGCGTGTGGCCAATGCGGCTACCGGACGCTCAAATGGCGCCATCGAAGATTTGGCGGCCTGCGAGAGTGCGGCCATGAATCACAAACCATCAACCCCATCGTAAACACTCCTTTAAAGGAGGAATGGACAGAGATCCACTCTGCTTCTGAACCAGACAATTGAGTGGATTACAAATCTATAATGACATCTTTAATCTGCCGTTATTAGCAGCACAATGATGGGGGGGGGGGTGTTTTTTACACCTTGTGTATTGTTAAAGGGGACTGCACTAAAGGCCACCAGGGGCCGCTGGTGGCCAAGGAAGAACACAAATTACGTAATAGCAGCGAGGGGTTGGTGGATCACCACCACACATGGAGTTGCAAAACTCTCTTCTACCCTTGGGTGGGCGTCGAGAAGAAGGAGCCCGTGCCCCTGGCTCTGCCAGGAGAAGGCGGTCCAGCAAAAATGTGGACGTCACCTGTACCAGATGTTGAACTTCTTTCGCACAGTACGTAGCTAACCGTGCTAATTGGAGGTTCCGTCTATACGGGGATAGAGTGTTTCCCCCTCGCACGCGTGGGGTTTCTCCGGGTGCTCCGCTTTCCTCCCACACGTGTAAACGCTCATTAACTGTTATTGTTTTATATTTGTATTATTTTATTGTTTCCCTTCTACGTGACTTTACCGAAAGAACCAAGAATATGAATCCCTGCAGTTACGAAAGCTTTAAATCAAAACTCATTAACTGGTCGATAACACCTTAATATATGGCAACGTGTTGGCAAATGTTAACTGCCTCGTCTGGCATACAGGATGTTGTGGGTTCGATTCCAACCCTGACGCATGCTGAATATATTTGGAGTTTGCGTGTCTTTCCTCATGGTTCTCGTGGATTTTTCTCCGGGTCCTCCAGTTTTTCCTTCCACATTTAGAATCAACATCACGCATTTAGAGTCTTTGGCTGCTGATATATTTCCACGTGATGATGATGAGAAGCCACTTCATTGAGCTATCATTTATGATTGCCAGGTCGCTTCTGAAAAAGAGCTACACAGCAGAGTGGGCCTTACCTGGTAAAAGAAAAATAGTTTAGTTTTTAGTTTATATTTCGCGGACTGCAGAACGTGGACAAATATTGGTCGTGCCGGTTCCTCACCGCGTGGCTACTCTCTGCCTTTCCGACTCCTCCGTCCGTGGTTCCTGAGCAACTGTGCAGATGCCGGTAAAGTAACATCTTCATATACAGAAGACGCAGAGCTTAGGGGAAATGGGAATCTGGCCACCACGTGGCTGCTGCCTTCCTGCTCCTCGTCCGTGGTTCCTCCTCCAGGCGCCTCCTCTGAGTCGTCCCCACTCTCCCCGAGAGCGAGGAGTGTATATCATAATATTAATGTATTATTGCTTTATAATAGCACTGTAACGTGACGTTTACCATGTAGGATTTCGCGACCAATATCCATAACAGGTTCTTTTTGGGGGGGTTGATTGCGTGAATATAAACGTCGTTAAACCCGCCAGCAACCGACACAGCCAATTGGTTAGGTTTGTCACGTAAACAGAACATGGCAATTCGTTACTAGTACAGCACACCAGTGTGTTGGAGAGCCAAGTCATAACGTTTACAATAACCCAACCGTCAATGGATTCCCATTGACATTTATATGCATTCAGTAATCCTCCCCCACTTTGATCAATACGTGCTCACAAGTGATGTTATCGCATCTACCCCTCTATTTAAGGAACGAAACAGGGGGATTTCTCCACAAATCTGGCTGTCGCCTGATGAAGCTGGTTGTAATTACTGGCGAAACGTCGTACTTGAGATTGTCAAAGTCGTGGCTTGGCTCTCCAACACACAACCGGTGTGCTGTACTAGTAACGAACTGGCATGTTCTGCTTACGTGACAAACTTACTAATTGGCTGTGTCGGGTGGTGGCGGGTTTAACGACACATATTTACGTGATCTAACCCAAAAAAACCCTGTATTATGGATGTTTTGGTTTCGGTTAGATCGCATCAATATAAATGTGTCGTTAAACCCGCCACCACCCGATACAGCCAATTAGTGAGACCTCAATTTAAGGCCGAAACGGCAGGAGGATTTATCCACAGTTCTGGCAGTCACCTGACGATGCAGGCTGCTGTTGTAATTACCGGCGAAACGCTCCGGCACTCGGATTGTAAATGTGGGTTCACCCTCCAACACACCGGTTAGTGCTGAAATAGGAACTAATCGGCACGTTTTGTTTTACGTGGTAAACCTGAAATAATTGGCTGTGGCGAGATTAACGACACATTGACGCGATCTAGTCCCCCCAATAAAACCTCTTGTATAATCATGTGATGAATGGATTCGTCCAACACGCTCCACCCCCACCGCCTGCTGATTTAATGGTACGGTCCGACCCGGAAGTGGTCCACGTCGCCCGGGGTGCGCGAGGGAGCTCCCTTGGCGCTGCTTCATCCACTGCTGGACGGCGGCCTCCTCCACTCCCCCCACGCGTTGGGAGAGAGGGGTTGTTTGGCCATACTTCACCACTCCGGTCAGTACGGGTTGTTGGTGAACAATTGGGGGAGAAGGAGGTACAGTGATAAAATAAAACCAAGACATCCTGCGGCGGGGGGGGGGGGGGGGGGGGGGGGGGGGGGGCAGCACCACGCCCGGCCGCCTTTGTCTCCCCAGTGGCGATGTTTGTACACACCGCACTAGGTACTACTCATTTGAGGCTGAGTCGACCTAGGGGAGGCCCAGGACCGGTTCAGATCATCGTCACTGGGTGTTGGTGGAGAACCGGGTTCGTAGCGCAGCGCGCTAGCCGCTACGCTCCCCAGAGATACACACACGTGACGAGGTTCACACACGTGACGAGGTTCACACACGTGACGAGGTTCACACACGTGACGAGGTTCACACACGTGACGAGGCTCACACACGTGACGAGGTTCACACACGTGACGAGGTTCACACACGTGACGAGGTACACACACGTGACTAGGTTCACACACGTGGCGAGGTTCACACACGTGGCGAGGTTCACACACGTGACGAGGTGCACACACGTGACGAGGTTCACACACGTGACGAGGTTCACACACGTGACGAGGCTCACACACGTGACGAGGTTCACACACGTGACGAGGTTCACACACGTGACGAGGTTCACACACGTGGCGAGGTTCACACACGTGGCGAGGTTCACACACGTGACGAGGTGCACACACGTGACGAGGTTCACACACGTGACGAGGTTCACACACGTGACGAGGTTCACACACGTGACGAGGTTCACACACGTGACGAGGTTCACACACGTGACGAGATTGCCACGGTGTTGTTGGTATGGTCCGCCTCGTACGATTTGCAAACGAAACTTGCAAGCGAAGAGCGGACCGCGACGTGATATTCATTGCATCAATTCGTGTGCGTCTTCTTTGGTTCTTTTGGTAAAGTCACCACGTAGAATGAGAATAAAATAATAAATTGATAATAAAATAACACAATAATATTCTCACGACGTTTCGGCCACAACACAAGCGGCCTTCATCAGGTGAAGGGACGAGACTGGTCTGGTAGGACAGCGCTGTCCTACCAGACAGAATATTATTGTGTTATTTTATTATCAATTTATTATTTTATTCTCATTCTACGTGACTTCACCGAAAGAACCAAAGAAGGTGAATCATTGCAGTCACGAAAGCTTTAAATCGAAATTCGCGTGCGGTTTGTAAGGCCGTGGTGACACAGACCTATTTCATTTGTAAAGGTTTATAATCCCTTGTTCATCGGGACGTCCTTTTGATTTACTTCCATGTCTCAACAGCGTTTACGGAGATCACGTGACGTGAGGGTTCTGCCTTTGTAGTGAGGGTCGAGGAGGCGCCTCGGCCCCACCATGTGGAGTGACGTCACCCGCTAATTATTATTAATGAGGAGGGGGGGGGTGGTCCATGTGGGTGACGTCATCTGCTCATGATTATTAATGAGGGGGGGGGCTGGTCGACGTGGAGTGACGTCATGCGCGGGACACACAGACATTCTTGAATCGTGCATACCGTGCGTATTCATTTTTCAAATGATTCGGCGTGTGTATCACGAATGTGGAATGATGGTTGTGTCCCCGTGTCTCATGAACAGCAGTTGCATGACCTGTTCTAACCCTGCTGTCTTCTCCGCACTGTCTCAGTGTCGCAATGTCAACCTCATCGCTCCATCCCAGTCTCTCCGCACCTCTCGCTGCTGTTCCCTTGACTCTATCTCCATGTCTCTGTATTTATTGTCCTCGTGTCTCCCCATGTCCCTGTAACTCACCGTGCTTGTGTCACCGCGTCTTACAATGTCTCCCCGTGCTCTCCCCGTGTCCTCGCGTCTCTCCGCGCACCCCCGCGTCTCCCCGTGTCCTCCCGCGTGTCTCCCCGCGTCCCCCCGTGTCCTCCCGCGTGTCTCCCCGCGTCTCCTCGTGTCTCCCCGCGTCCCCCCGTGTCCTCCCGCGTGTCTCCCCGCGTCTCCTCGTGTCTCCCCGCGTCCCCCCGTGTCCTCCCGCGTGTCTCCCCGCGTCTCCTCGTGTCTCCCCGCGTCCCCCCGTGTCTGCTCGTTCTCTCCGCGTTTCCTCGCGTCTCCCCTTACCTCCCCGTGACTCCGCCCCCCCCCCCCTGTGCAGGCCGTCTCGATGGGAGTTCCCCGCCGGCTGCTGCGCCGTCTGCGCCGCTGGGCGCGCCGCGGCTCGCGCCGCCGCCTCCGCTCGCTGCTGCGGCGCCACCCGGAGATCTGCGGGGCGGGGGCCGGGGGGAGCTCGGCGGCGGGGGCGGCCCTGATCTCGGCGAGCCGCCGGGGCCACGCGTCCGTGGTGCGGCTTCTACTGCGCCGCGGCGTGGATGGGGCGGCGGCGAGGGGACGCGGCGGGGAGACGGCGGCGCACGCAGTGGTGCACAGGGCGCTGAGACGGCCCACGGACAAGGGTGCGGGGAGCTCGGGGAGAGACACCAGGGGGGACATGGGGGGAGACGTCATGGAGACCAGGGTTCAGAGACACACGGGGAGAGACACGGGGGATACACGGAACACAACGGGGACGTGGGTGGGGATGCATGGGGGACACGGGGGGACACGTGGACATGCCCGTGGCAGCTCTGCGTTGTGCGTGCGTGTTCACCGGCAGCTGTAGGAGCGGGTCGCTGTCGTGTTTAATGCAGCACTGCACTGCAAATGCGGCAGGAGCACGAGTTCGATTCCCGCTCACGGCCACCACCAACCCCAGTGACGATTATCATCTGAAGGGGTCCTGGGCCTCCCCTAGATCGACTCAGCCTCAAACGAGTACCCGGTGCGGTGCGTAAACATCGCCACTTGGGGAGACGAAGGCGGCCGGGCGTTGTGTTGGCCACCCACCCCCTCGCATGCCGTTATCGGCCTTCACAGGTGCTACTCACCAACAGCACTTGCCCTAACAGTGTGTTGAGGCCACATGGGAGACCTTTGTTTGTCGTGCCACAGGCTGCCTCCGCGTGATCGCCGTGCTGCGCAAGTACTGCCCGGACTGCCTCCAGGTGCGCAACCTGGACGGCATCACCGCAGCACACCTCCTGGCTCGCCTGCCTCACCAGGTGTGCCCCCCCCCCCTCCCCCCCCCCTCCTCACCCCCCTCCCCACTCCCTTCCACTCCCCTCCCTATCCCCTCCTCCCCCAACCCATCTCCCCGTTGCTTCCTTCCTGCTGTGTCACACTCAACACTTTTCTCCTTATCCTCCTCCTCCTCCTCATGTCTATCACCTCCTCCCCCCTTCTCCCTGTGTCTCCCACCTCCTACTCCTCTTCTTCCTTTCCCACCTCCCTATGTCTCCCACCTCCTCCCCCATCCTCCTCTTCCCCTTCCCTCCCCACGTCTCTCACCTCCTCCCCCCTCTTCCTCCTCATCTTCCTCCTCATCTTCCTCCTCCCCCGCCACCCCTGCTTCTCTCCGCGTGTCCCATTACCTCCCGCCTCCACCACCAGGACGGGCTTGCGGAGCAGCGGGAGGAGGCGGTGTCGCTGGTGGGGGCCGTGCTGGGCGAGCGTGGGGGTTGGGGCTCCGAGGAGGAGGGGCCGTGGGGAAGCCGCGGGGAGGACTCCGCGTGGCTGCGCCGCGTGCGGGACGAGTGTGAGGACGAGTACAACTCTGCCTGGGGGCGCTACGAGGGTGAGACGCCCACTCCCTCGCACCGGCGTATGCGACCACCCGTCCGTGGGTCTCTCTGTGCGAGTCTGTGGGTCATCGAGTGATGGGTCTGCGAGTCTCTGTGCGAGCCTGTCGGTCTCTCCGCGTGATGGGTCTGCGGGTCACTCGCACCTCCTCCATGCCTCTCTTCACTTTCGCTCCGACCCAGGCGACTTCGAGGCGGCGGACGGCAACGGCTCCGAGCCCGAGACCTTCGAGGGCTGGGTTCAGCGCCTGGCCCGGGAGCAGCGCGAGCGCTGCCGCCCGGGCCCCAGCGCCGCCGAGCTCCGGCGCCGGCGGCTCCGCGAGGAGAGCGAGCGGCGCGAGGAGCGCTGGCGGCAGGAGCTGCGAGCGACGCTCGCCACGGAGCGCTCGGAGCGCCAGCGGCGCGCAGCCGCGGCCTCCTCCGCCGCGGCCGACGCCGCCGCCGCCGCCAAGGAGTCGTACGAGCGCCGGCTGCTGGCCGCGGCGGAGAAGCTGGCGCGGTCGGCCGAGCGCGCTGCCGATTCTGCCGGAGGCGGTGCGCAGCGGCAGGGGGAGCTGCGGTACGATGACATCCCGTGGCCGGCGCCGCACGGCACCGCCGAGGAGATGGCGGCGGTGCTGGCGCACGGCGTGGACCGGACGGAGGAGGGAGGTGCCCCCTACAGGCGCCACCTACGCCGCCAGCTCGTGTTGTGGCACCCGGACAAGTTCGAACAGCGGTTTGGCGCAAGGCTGCACGTGGCCGAGCGGGAGGGCGTCCTGCGCACCGTCAAGGAGCTGTCGCAGGCACTCAACAGGCTCATGGGGGGCATCGCCACGTGATAGCGGTGGTGGCGATGGTGATGAGGAAGATGGTGGTAACGGTGGAAGTGATGGTGGTGATGATGGTAGTGGTGATGATGAAGTCGGTGGTGGTGATGATGATGATGAAGGTGATGATGGTGAGTTGTGGTGCACTACGAACCGGGCGACCCGGGTTCGATTCCCACTCACGGCCAACACCAGTGATTATTATCTGAATTGGTCCTGGGCCTCCCCTAGGTCAACTCGCCTTCGAACAAGTACCTAGTTTGGAGTGTAAACATCGTCACTGGGGAGACAAAGGCAGCTGGGAGTAGTGCTGGCCACTCACCTCGTGTGCTGTGCTGGCCTTCATAGGTACTACTTGTTCACTTGCCCCAACGGTATGTTAAGGCTACAGGGGGGATCTTTGTGTGAATGTGTGCGTCGGGTCACACCACTCCTCTTTGCACGAACACACGTCACAATATTACTAAATGTAAATTATCTGAAAGGCTAAAAAATGTACAAACATACCCTTCAAATGTTGAAACTCCAACAATTTTAATACAAAGATTATCCTGATGTGTACACACGTGTCTGTGAATGTGTGTGAGACTATATTCTTAGCTCTTTCGGTAAAGTCACGTTGAAGGGAAACAATAATATATATATAAAACAATAAAAATTTTCACGACGTTTCGACCATAACACAAACGGTCATCATCAGGTGTGAAAACCAACGGCAAGAAACAAAAAAGTATTTAATTAATTGGAAGGTGTTGTCTATATTTAAAGTTGCACATTTTGATGTGACGTCACATTTATCACCCCCCCTCGTCACACATCGTCACAAATGTCTGACCCCCCCTCCCCTAGGTGCATGACGTCATTTATGGACGGTCCCTTAGCCGCCGTAGCTGCTGCGTTCACTCTGGCGATGGTCCGTGATGTTCGTGTCCAGGGAATCTCTGTGCCGTGCTACTCGCTCAACTAAAACTAAACTACTTTTTATTTTACCAAACTGAACTATTTTTTATTTTAACCAGGCAAGGCCCATTGAGCTACGTAGCTCTTTTTCAGAAGCGACCTGCCCACAAATGACAGCTCAACGAAGTGGCTTGTCATCATGTGGAACATTTACAGCCGCCAATACTCGCATTGATTCTCAATACCGAGGGAAAACCCGGAGATGGTGATGATGAAACATCCACAGGGAGAGAGAGACACGCAAACTCCAAAAATACAGCAAGCGTCAGAGTTGGGATGGAACTCACGACCTCCTGTAAACCAGGCGAGGTAGTTAACATCTAGCCACCGTGATGATGATGAGAGAGAAAGCAGGTGGAAGAGTTGGGATCGAACCCACGACCTCATGTACATCAGGCGAGGTAGTTAACATCATCTAGCCACCATGATGATGAGAGACACGCAAACTCCAAATATACAGCAAGTGGGAGAGTTGGGATCGAACCCACGACCTGCATACCAGGCGAGGTAGTTAACATCTAGCCACTGTGATGATGAGAGAGAGACACGCAAACTCCGAATACACAGCAGGTGGGAGAGTTGGGATCAAACCCACGACCCCCTGTATACCAGGCGAGGTAGTTAACATCTCCTAGCCACTGTCATGACGAGAGAGAGACACGCAAACTCCAAATATACAGCAGGTGGGAGAGTTGGGATCGAATCCACGACCTCCTGTATACCAGACGAGGTAGTTAACATCTAGCCACCATGATGATGAGAGACAAGCAAACTCCAAATACACAGCAGGTGGGAGAGTTGGGATCGAACCCACGACCTCCTATATACCAGGCGAGGTAGTTAACATCTAGCCACTGTGATGAGAGAGGCAGCAGGTGGGAGAGTTGGGATCGAACCCACGACCTCCTGTATACCAGGCGAGGTAGTTAACATCCCCTAGCCACCGTGATGATGATGAGAGAGACACACAAACTCCAAATATACAGCAGGTGGGAGAGTTGGGATCGAACCCACGACCTCCTGTATACCAGGCGAGGTAGTTAACATCCTAGCCACCGTGATGATGATGAGAGACACACAAACTCCAAATATACAGCAGGTGGGAGAGTTCGGATGGAACCCACGACCTCCTGTATACCACGCGAGGTAGTTAACATCTCCTAGCCACTGTGATGATGAGAGAAGCAGCAGGTGGGAGAGTTGGGATCGAACCCACGACCTCCTGTATACCAAGCGAGGTAGTTAACATCTCCTAGCCACCATGATGATGATGAGAGAGACACACAAACTCCAAATATACAGCAGGTGGGAGAGTTGGGATGGAACCCACGACCTCCTGTATACCAGGAGAGGTAGTTAACATCTCCTAGCCACCGTGATGAGAGAGAGAGATACAGCAGGTGGGAGAGTTGGGATGGAACCCACGACCTCCTGTATACCAGGCGAGGTAGTTAACATTTCCTAGCCACCGTGATGATGAGAGAGAGAGATACAGCAGGTGGGAGAGTTGGGATGGAACCCACGACCTCCTGTATACCAGGCGAGGTAGTTAACATCTCATAGCCACCGTGATGAGAGAGATACAGCAGGTGGGAGAGTTGGGATGGAACCCACGACCTCCTGTAAACCAGGCGAGGTAGTCAACATCTCCTAGCCACCGTGATGATGAGAGAGAGATACAGCAGGTGGGAGAGTTGGGATGGAACCCACGACCTCCTGTATACCAGGCGAGGTAGTTAACATCTCATAGCCACCGTGATGATGAGAGAGAGAGATACAGCAGGTGGGAGAGTTGGGATGGAACCCACGACCTCCTGTAAACCAGGCGAGGTAGTCAACATCTCCTAGCCACCATGATGATGAGAGAGAGATACAGCAGGTGGGAGAGTTGGGATGGAACCCACGACCTCCTGTATACCAGGCGAGGTAGTTAACATCTCATAGCCACCGTGATGATGAGAGAGAGAGATACAGCAGGTGGGAGAGTTGGGATGGAACCCACGACCTCCTGTAAACCAGGCCAGGTAGTTAAGATCTCATAGCCACCGCAGTCGGTTCGGTTGCCCCGGTGACCGATGGTGAAACCCGCCGGCAACGTGTGTGACGTCATCGCGCGTGACGTCATCTCACAAGGAAACTTCCCCCGGAGTCCAACATTTGCATGAATCCGTGATATTCGGCTCCGTGTTGTGTTATGGGCCATCGGGGCCGATACCGATTCTTACAAAGACAAAGATCCACCCGTGTAGCCTCAACAGACTGTTGGGGCAAGTGCTGTTCGCGAGCACGCACGCACGCACCCACGAGGTTCCGACACGGCACTACCACCACGTTAACGACACATCGCATCCGGTTATCATTTGAGGCTGAGTCGACCTAGGGGGAGGGGGGGGGGCACAGAACCGGTTCAAACGATCGTCACCGGTGTTGGTGACTCGATCGGGTTCGCCGGGTTCGTAAGCGCAGCGTGCTAACCGCTGCGCCACCGCTCAACCCGCGCCGATTGATCGGGCCCCAGTACACAAACCGAGCGTCGCATCAAATCGCCAATGAATGAACGAGGCAAGATGCTTTTTGTTTATTATCCATCGGGTTCGAGGGGGGTAATGGGGCGGGGGGGGGAGTTCGTGGGAATGCCGACAGCAGAAAAGGACATGTTACGTACGCTGCCAATGTTAAATAACAGCGGGGGGGGGAGGGGGAAACAATTCTGATACGTTCATTCGTGCTAAAAATAGATTTGTACATTTATATCCTGCAGCGGAAGATTACTGCTGCCGGATGCAGCAAACTACATTTGCAAATCTTTAATCCTTAAGCCGTGTCCGTAGTCGTTGTAGTATCGATAGTTCAATGTGAATGCGCGGTGTGATTGAAGGCCCTCCTGTGCGTTGTGTTGGGGTGGTGTGGGACCGCTGCTGCTGCTGCTGCCTTGCCGTGCGTTCATTTTAGTGTCCACAAATGGGACAGGCAACGTCCATGTATTTATACATTCTAGCGACTTCCTGACCTATCGTTTGCACTCCTATGGTTGTTTGTATTGTGTTTGTTGTTGTAACTTTCTGAGACCCCCCCACCACCACCTTGCCCCACACTGAACATCTGTGCGGAAAGCAAAGAGCTTCACAGCTTATCGGATTTCTACTCCTGCAGTCTAAATCAAGATTCCGATTCGCCGACCAACAACAACGACGACGAATCGAATCGATCGTCGTGCGCTGGACCAATCAGCGGCGTCCGCGAGGGCAACGCCGAACGGTTCCCCCCCCCCTTGCCCCTTGGCCCGCCTCGCCGCTTGAGCCAATGGGAGGCGTCCACGAGCTTTGGTGCCCCTCGACCAATTGGGCGCGTCCACAGCGGCGACTCGACCGTCGGGGGCCAATGGGAGGCGTCCACGCGCCTCCGCCTGCAAGTATATAAAGCGAGCGGCAACGGGTAGGAGGTGCCCGTCCGTCATTCGCAGAGCAACGTAGAGAGTTGAACCTTGCTCGTGGTGGTGGAGGAGGCTTCGTGGTCCCGTGAGCGCTAAGTGATAATTGCCAATCAGGTGATAACCGACCGGTGGGGGTTGTGTGTAGGTCTCCATTTGACGAAGGCGGTTTAAATCCGTTGGGAAGGGGCTAAGGCGAGCCGGGCGAAGACGAGGCCAAGTCTACGGTACAGCCAAGGAGCGGGTGTCGCCATAACCCAACTGAGGTGAGTGTCAGCGACAGTGGTGATTCGTCCGCGTCAGCCATGTTCTATCCACTGCTGGGTGAAGTCCCTAAGCTTCACCCCCGCCAAGCCGATAACCGCGTCTCTTAAAATATCCTGTGGGTTGTTAATCCAACCCCTCCAAATGGCAAGCTGCGCGCGAGTAGGACAAGGTCGGTAGGCGTCTCTTGCGTGTCTTAACGTCTGGCGACGAAACGAGCGGCGCTCAACGGTAGCCGCGTGGCTACCGTTGAGCGCCGCTCGTTTCGGAGACGTCAAATGGACGCTGACTTCTGGGAGTCGATTCGCCGAATTCTGTGAAAAGAACGAGTCGATTCCTCCGCTTCACGCGCCCATCTCCACCGTTCGCAGCGGTGTTGCGCGAATCGTGGATTCGCGCAAAAGTTATCGGAAGCCGATTCGCGCCTTGGCGGTTTTTAAAGCTAAGCAGTATTTGGGCTTGGCTGCGGCTTGGATGGGCGATCACTTTGCATGCGTAACAGTTGCTACAGGCTGCGGTGTCGCGTTGATGGGCTGTAGCAGTGGAGCGGGTAAGCTGTGCGCAGTACTCCACTGCTGCCATCTTAAGTTCGCTGCCTTCGCCAAAGCACGCTGTGACCGGCGTGGTGAGGTCTCGTTAATTGGCATCGCCACCCCCCCCCCGAAACCGAAACGGCGAATTATAAATGACTAAATTTCGATTTAAAGCTTTCGTGACTGCAAGGATTCATCCTCTTTGGTTCTTTCGGTAAAGTCACGTAGAATGAGAATAAAATAATAAATTGATAAAATAATTTTAACACAATAATATTCTCACGACGTTTCGGCCACAGCACAAGCGGAATAAAATAATAAATTGATATAAATGACTACGTAACGGATGTCTTGTTTTACATACGGGTCAGGCTACCTTCCCCTCCCCGGGTTGCGCTAACCCCCCCACCCCCCCGGGTTGCGCTAACTCCCCCACCCCCCCGGGTTACGCTAACTCCCTCCCCCGGGTTACGCGAACTCCCCCCACCCCCTTCCGGGTTACGCTAACGCTCCCCCGGGTTACGCTAACTCAACCTACACCACACTATGCACAATGCTAGCCAAGCCACTACACTAATACATTGAAAACTAATTTCTGCAGTAGAACTACTTGCTGTGTTTAGTGCCCCCCCCCCGCACCTCCGATTAGCACGGTTGGCTACGTACGGAGCAAAAGAAGTTCAGTATACAGTAGTACATGCCTGGCGCACCTATTACAACGCAAAGCGCAGTGTGGAGCCTGGTGTGTGACTGTCGCCAGGGTTTTATATTTTACCACAAGGCCGTAATTATAATATATATTGAGGGGGGACACATCTCCCAATATTCAAATATGCTCAATGGCCCCCCCCCCCCCAATATATTGCTAGAAAATAGATTTGTTTATACGATTGTGGTTATGGTTGTACTTTATTAATCCCTAATCTCGGCCATTACATACAATGAAACAAGAAAAGGTAAAAAAAGAGCAATGTAATACAATACACTATTAGACATTGTAAAAAATAAATAAAAAGTCCATCAAATGTATTAGTGATTTTTTATATTTTAGGCAGGAAATTAGTTTTCAAATTTAGATAATCTGGGGGGGGGGACCCCCAGGAGGATTTGGTCTCCCCCAATGCTGACTCCATGGCTACGACCTTGTTTTACCAGGCAAGGTCCGCCGAGCTGTGTAGTTCTTTCAGAAGTGCTGTTCGCGAAAAAATGATCGCTCAACGAAGTGGGTTACGTGAACATTTTATAGCAGCCAAATACTAGTAAACGCGTGATGTTGATTTCTAAGTGTGGAGGGGATAAACCGGAGGGCCCGGGGGAAAAATCCACGCGACCACGGGGGAGAGGACAGGAGACAACGAGCGACTATGCAGCAGGCGTCAGGGTCGCGGTCAAACCTACGACCACCCGCATGCACCAGGGCAAGGGATAACATCTCGCCCTGTAAAAAAAAAGTGTCCTCACCCGGCACACCACATCCAGTACACCTCATCGCCAAGGACCGTGGCTTCTACTGCTCGTGTGCGCACGGTTGGCTTCGTACGGTGTGAAAGAAGTTTAGCGTGCATGCAGAGCGCTAAACGAGGCCCTCGTCGTCTGTGCCCGCAGAGCGATGGCGCCAGGGAGGGTGGCGCTGGTGGTGGCGGTGGCGGTGTGCTGCGTGGCGCTGTGCCGCGCAGCCGAGGACGACAAGGAGAAGGAGAACATGGGCACGGTGATCGGCATCGACCTGGGCACCACCTACTCGTGGTGAGGGTGCCAGCGCACGCGCACTAACACTCAAACACGTGTACGTTAAAAAAAAAGAATGCAAATAAGTCGAGGTTTTACCCTTCTGACAATAAAACGGCTGTCAAGATATTTTCAATGCATCGAGTCTGCATTGACCACACGTGCTTGTGGTAAAATATGCAAACAAACATGCTCTGATAATAATGTACGCATTGTCTTTGAAACTGATTGGCCAACACCAGAGGCTGCCTTCTTATAATGGCCTTGTCTTGGGGTTAGACCAGAGAATGCCAAACTCAAGCGGTACCAAACCAATTCAAGTGTTGGAGCATTTATATCGCGGGGTTGAGCAGTTATATCTACGAGACCTTTTTGTCCGTGCTTGTGCACTTGCAGTCACTGATGCACTCCTCTGCACACCTAAGCGCAGCACAGCTGTGTGATGTGCAGTCTGCGCACACGACCCTGAATACGTATTCTTGCATTGGCTCCTTGGCCCGTGCGTGTGTGAGAATCTGGGCACCACGTACTCGTGGAAAGGGCCCGGTGCCAGCACGCGCACACAAAGACAAACAATCCCTGTGTAGCCTTAACAGGCTGTTGGGGCGAGTGCTGTTAGCGAGTAGCACCTATGAAGGTCGGTATGGCACAAAGAGGAAGGGGGTGAGTGGCCAGCACCACGCCCGGGGACGCCTTAGTCTCCCGAGTGGCGATGTTTACACATCCCACCAGGTACTCATTTGAGGCCCAGTTTATCTGGGGGATGCCCATAACCGATTCGGTTATGAGTATCTACCAGGTTCGTAGCACCGTGTGCTGACCTATTGGACGACCGTCCCCAACACGCACGCTCTCAAACACGTGTGCGTGTTCCCTCGCCACACACTCGCGTTTAGTCGCACCCTCGGTCACTGATGCACCCCTACAGACACGTGCACTGTGCAGCGCACCGAAGTGCAAAGCCAGCCGTGCGAGCGCTTGCTGCAAACGTGCACGATCGTGAATATTCTCATAGCTTTAACTAATTTTCCATTCAATCCATTCATTTCCCATCATCAATTTAATCATCACAGATTTCCCCCCCCCCCCCCCCCCCCCTGTTGCTTCCCGTCTTTTCACCGTATCTCCACCATTCCATTCATACAACATACACGTATCGTTACGTACCGGTCTTTGATTCTCTGTAAACGCCTCGGTTAAGGTGTCGTATAAATGACGATAAGACAATGCACACGCATTATTCTGGATTCTCTCAACGCTCGCGCACACGTCGGAGCACGCGGGAGAACAAATGGAACGCGCGCCTGGTGAGATGTGCGTCGTGGAATCTGCACACGCACGCCTCATTCCGTACGCTCTCCTCCCTCAATCCGGCAGCGTGGGCGTCTTCAAGAACGGCCGCGTGGAGATAATCGCCAACGACCAGGGGAACCGCATCACGCCGTCGTACGTCGCCTTCACGGCCGAGGGGGAGCGTCTCATCGGCGACGCCGCCAAGAACCAGCTGACCTCCAACCCCGAGAACACCGTGTTCGACGCCAAGCGGCTCATTGGGCGCTCGTGGACGGACCCCACCGTGCAGCACGACATCAAGTTCTGGCCCTTCACGGTGCGTGGGTGTTGGTAGTTTTCGCCGTGCTCAATGCCCGCCCCCAACCCCCCCCCCCCCCCCGCATTGTCACCGGTTTTGCTGCAGTCCCTGCCACCCCTCGTACAATTGCACAAGGTTAACGCGTAGTGGCAGGGCTTTTTGGGGGGTTTTTGAGTTGGATCGTGTAAATATAAAGGTGTCATTGAGAGCGATCTTTGGATCCCTTCGGCCTAAGTGATGATGATTCCACTGCTATGTATGTGTGGAAGTTATTTTCGTGTGTAGCGGTTGGCACGCTGCGCTACAAACCCGGGGACACCCAAGTTCGATTCCCGCTCACGGCCGCCAATACCAATGACGATTTTCTGAAATGGTCCTGGGCCTCCTCTAGGTCTTCTCGGCCTCGAATGAGTACCTGGTGCTGTGTGAACATCGCCACTATGGAGACAAAGGCGGCCAGGCGTGGTTCTGTTCACCCACCCCCGAGTGCCATGCTGGCCCTCATCGGTGCTACTTGCTAACAGCACTTGCCTCATCAGTCTGTTCAGGCCATGTGGGGAATCTTTGTATGAAACGTATTTCACACGGCATGGGTGAGGTGTGGATTGGTGGTTAATGGTGGTGGTTCTGCCTACGGTACCCAATTGGACATCAGTGAAAAAGAGCTTCATCGCTCATCGGATTTCTCCCAGGTTAAAAAAATATATCATTCTGGTTCCCACCCCCTCTCTCTCTGCCACCCTGCAGGTTCTGGAGAAGAAGGGGAAACCCCACATCCAGGTTGAGGTGATAGCCGGCGAGTCCAAGACCTTCGCCCCGGAGGAGATCTCGGCCATGGTGCTCACCAAGATGAAGGAGACGGCCGAGGCCTACCTGGGCAAGAAGGTGCGACGCGCATGACGACGCTCCGGGCAAACCTCCCGTTCTGTGTGGGGGGGGGGGGTTTGGGAGCACGAGCGGTGCGTCTCGATCGTCAAGTCGCTCACGACGCTTTGTTGTCGTCCGCAGGTGACCCACGCGGTGGTGACCGTGCCCGCCTACTTCAACGACGCCCAGCGACAGGCCACCAAGGATGCTGGCACCATCGCCGGCCTCAACGTGCTGCGCATCATCAATGAGCCGTACGCAACACATGGCGGTGGGGGGGCGGGGGGCACACGTGGGTTGGTACCCTTTTTATAGAAATTATACAATGGGGTGCCATGGTGGTGGGGTCGGATACCGGCCAAAACACTGGGTGCGAGTTTTTGGCTGGTATCAGTCGACCTCTCGTGACTGATTCTAAAATTGACCCAAATGAACGCTGACCGGCAAACGCGGGGGAAGCGGGACTCCCACTCGCCCACCCCCATCCACCCCGCTGATGGCCCTGCCGGCTCTTGCCCGTCCATCCCCGTGCATGCAGGACTGCGGCGGCCATCGCCTACGGGCTGGACAAGAAGGAGGGCGAGAAGAACATCCTGGTGTTCGACCTGGGTGGGGGCACCTTTGACGTGTCGCTGCTCACCATCGACCACGGCGTGTTTGAGGTGGTGGCCACCAACGGAGACACCCATCTTGGTGAGCAGAGTGCCACGCCCCCCCCCCGTGCCCCTCCCCTTGCCGCACCCACCCACTTTCTCTGCCACACGCTTTACCCTACCACCACCACATGTGACCTGCTGGTAGGTGCCCAGTTGGTGGTCCTCGTTCTTAATATTGCTGGGTGTAGGCCGTGGGGAATGGGGTGCAGCTGTCTGTGGCTAGATGTTAACGGCCTCGCGTGAAATTTTCTCCCAGGTACTCCGGTTAGTCCTACATTTAGAATCAATGTCACGAATTTGTCTGCCGCTATCAATTTCCTCAAGATAAGCCACTTCGTTGAGATATAAATCTGTGGCCAGGTTTCTTCTAAAAAAAGTGCTGCACAACTCGGTGGGACTTGTTTGGTAAAATAAGAAAGTGTAGTAGTGTCAGAAGATGCATTGTAAATCGATCAAACAGTAGCGTTATATAAACATTGTACATGAGACTGTCGTAAACCAGACTGCCCTTTACAGGCAGGTCCTCGATACGAACGTTCCACACTTAAACGAACGAACCCGCCACGAGTCATCGTCATTTCTGACTTTCTACGAACGTTTGGCTCCGTAACCTTTTTATGAACCGAACTGCCGGAGTTGCCAGCGCGCCGACCTGACCGCGGCTCTCCCACCCCGCCCTCCGGACCCGCAGGTGGCGAGGACTTTGACCAGCGCGTGATGGAGCACTTCATCAAGCTGTACAAGAAGAAGACTGGCAAGGATGTGCGCAAGGACCACCGGGCAGTGCAGAAGCTCCGCCGCGAGGTGGAGAAGGCAAAGCGCACGCTCTCCACGCAGCACCAGGCGCGCATCGACATCGAGTCCTTCTACGACGGTGACGACTTCTCCGAGACGCTCACGCGCGCAAAGTTCGAGGAGCTCAACATGGTGAGGAGGGGAGGGTCGGCGGTGTATGTGTAACGGGTGTCTGTGCGCTACGTGTAACTGTGTGCTGTGTAATTATGTAGGCGAGTGTTGGTAGTGGTTTTCGCGCTGCACTAAAAGGTTCAATTCCCACTCGCGGCCTATGCCAGTGACGATTATCTGAGCTGGTCCTGGGTCTCCCCTAGGTCGGCTCTGCCTCAAATGAGTGTGAACATCGCTACTTGGGATGCAAAGGTGGTCTGGCGTGGTGCAGGCCACCCCAGCCCCTCGTGTACGCTGCAGGCACCTTTTATAGGTGCTTGCTAACAGCACTTGCCCCGACCAGTTGAAGGCTGTAAGGGGAATCTGTCCTTCATGCCGGGTGCCACAGTGGCTATGAAATGTTAACTACCTCTCCTGGTATACAGGAAGGAGGTCGTGAGTTTGATCCCGGCCCTGACGCCTGCTATATAGTTGCATGTTCTCACTGTGGTTGTGGGGATTTCTCTCCTGGTCCTCTGTTTTTTCCCTCCATTTTAGAAACACGTTTTTTTAGGAATTGGCCACTAAAAAATGTCCACCTGATTTTGATGAGAAGCCAGTTCGTTCAGCTATCATGTGTAATAGCCAGATTGCTTCTGAAAAAGAGCTATATAGCTCGATGGGGGTCTTGCCTGGTAAAATAAAAAATGGAAGTCTTTAGCTTCATTGTCGAGCTATATGCTGAATAACCGTGGTATATGGAGCGGCTCCCTGCACCGTACCGACTTCCTAACCTTGGCCTTGCCACTGCTGTGCCCGTGCCCCGCAGGACCTGTTCCGCTCGACGATGAAGCCGGTGCAGAAGGTGATGGAGGACTCGGACCTGAAGAAGACCGACATCGACGAGATCGTGCTGGTGGGCGGCTCGACGCGCATCCCCAAGATCCAGCAGCTGGTGAAGGAGCTGTTCAACGGCAAGGAGCCCTCGCGCGGCATCAACCCTGACGAGGCGGTGGCCTACGGCGCCGCCGTGCAGGCTGGCGTGCTGTCCGGGGAGGACAACACCGGTACGTGTCTGTAGGGGGTCGCAAGTGGTGCATCTTGCCAGCCATCTCGGTCAACCCCATGGCACCTGGGTCTGTCCCGTGACCTGCCAGCGGGCACCTAGCCTGACACAAGTTCCGTGGTGACGTCACCGCCACTTGGTGGCGAATGGCGGTTGTTTTTGTTGTTGTAGTGTGAACTTGCATTGAGCGCGGTTGGCTCCATACGGCACCAAAGGAGCTCAACAAACATGCGTGGCACTGACACAAATGCGGGCACACAAAGACAAAGATCCCCTGTGTTAGCCTTAGCAGACTGTTGGGGTAAGTGCTGTTAGCAGCACCTAAGGAAGGGCTGGCACAGTGCACGAGGGGGTAGGTGGCCAGCAACCATGCCTGGCCACCTTTGTTTCTCCAGTGGTGATGTTATCACTTCACACGAGATACTAATGTGAGGCTTAGTCGACCTAGGCGAGGCCCAGGATCGGTTCATATTTGCCACTCTTATTAGCCTTGAGCAGGAATTGAACTTTGGTGGCCGGGTTTGCAGCGCAGTGCGCTCACCATTGCGCCCTGCTTCCCCACATGCACACGCGCTTGTCTTTGGTTATTTTCGATGTACGTGTACAGATTTTTAGTTCAGTCACGGGTAGGTGGGTAGCCCTTGCACAGGGTTGGGGCTGGCTGCGTGTACACGGTTAGGGTTGGAGATTTGTGCCTACGTCCGTGAACAACTCCGGCGTGTGCACATGTACATGTAGGGGTTGGGGCTGCACATGTACATGTGGGGGTTGAGGCTGCACGTGTACGTGTGGCTATATTTGGTTAGGCGCAGCATTGCAATCCATGTGCCAAACGTGGCACCGCGCTTTTCTTAAACACGATGGGTGCTGCCCAATCAAAACGCACGCTCGCGTACCTGCGTTGCCTCCTGCTGTCCGTCACGCGTGCTGCGGTGGCTAGGAGATATTCACCGCCTCACCTGGTGTATATACAGTAGGTCGTGGGTTGTATCCCGACCCTGACGCCAGCTGTATATTTGAAGTTTGCAAGCGTCTCTCCCTGGATCCTTTCCCTCCGCATTTGTTCGCGCAGTTTTTGGCTGCTGCTATAAATTGAGCTGTTTGTTATAGCCAGGTTGCTTCTGAAAAGGAGCTCCTGAAGCTCGGTGGGCTTTACCTGGTAAAATAAAAAATGTTTTTCTTAGTTTTATTGTCGTCACGCTCTCCTGCCGTGCGCTGCTGCAGGCGACCTGGTGCTGCTGGACGTGTGTCCCCTGACCCTGGGCATCGAGACGGTGGGTGGCGTCATGACCAAGCTGATCCCCCGCAACACCGTGGTGCCCACCAAGAAGTCGCAGATCTTCTCGACGGCCGCCGACAACCAGCCCACCGTCACCATCCAGGTGTTTGAGGGCGAGCGCCCCATGACCAAGGACAACCACCTGCTGGGCAAGTTCGACCTGACGGGTATCCCGCCAGCCCCGCGCGGGGTCCCCCAGATCGAGGTGACCTTCGAGATCGACGTCAACGGCATCCTTCGCGTGTCCGCCGAGGACAAGGGCACGGGCAACAAGAACAAGATCACCATCACCAACGACCAGAACCGCCTGACGCCCGAGGAGATTGAGAGGATGGTGTCGGACGCGGAGCGCTTTGCCGACGACGACAAGCGAGTAAAGGAGCGTGTGGAGGCGCGCAACGAGCTGGAGAGCTACGCCTACTCGCTCAAAAACCAGATCGGCGACAAGGAGAAGCTGGGCGGCAAGCTGTCGGACGAGGACCGCGAGACCGTCGAGAAGGCCGTGGAGGACAAGATCGCCTGGCTCGAGGGCCACCAGGAGGCTGACACGGACGACTTCAAGGCGCAGAAGAAGGAGCTGGAGGAGGTGGTGCAGCCCATCGTGAGCAAGCTGTACGGCGGAGCGGGGGCCGGTCCCGGTGGGGAGGACGAGGGGGGAGAGGAAGGGGGGGACAAGGACGAGCTGTGAGGCGGTGATGGCGGGAGGCGGAGTAGGAACGACATCCCCGGCGATCGCCACCACCTCTCCGTCGGCCAACCACGACCTCTCTGGACTCTGTAAAGTTTACGCTGTGTTTGTTGCCTTTTTTTTTTGTCGTTCAATGATTTTGAGCTGGAGAGAGACTGTGCCCCCCCCACACCCCTACATTGGTTTGGGTTCATCGGATATTTAAACCCTGCCTGTGTTGGGCCCATAGCACTTGCGGTGGGGTGGACCCCCTAGAGCTGCTTGTGGTGGGCTCAAATCTGCATGTGGTGTGGGTCATGCCACCCAGGAGACGGTGGTGGTGCCAGTGCCGGCTTTGCCCCCTTCTTCCCCCACCTCTTTCCCTTGTTCAGCCGGGGATTCGTCAAACGCGAGTTTGTCGGAGCAGCACCGCCGTATGGTCACCAAGCGGCCCGGCCTCTCCCGGTGTGCTCCAAGGTGCCCAGGATAGAGAGGGGTGGGGGGGGGCTATGGTGGGGTTGCGTTATTGAGAGGATTCCTCGGTTTAAGTTATTGCAGCAGCGACGGCGACCGTTCAGACCGATGCAGTGGGGGACTCGACGGCAAAACCGAGAATAAACGGAAACGCGAGAGGCCCGCGTGTGACCCGTGTTTTTTTACAAGCGCCCGGTCTGCCTTCGGTGCAATTCTGATGCTCCACACTGCAACAACCCCGATTCTAAAATCTTTATTTAGACTGCATTAGTGAATCCGATGAGTTGCCAATGAAGCTAGTTTTTTTTTTTTCAAACGGTGAGTTACAACGGCAAGCAATGCAAAAAACCCGATGGGTGTACAAAATAGAGAAGATGGTCGGAAAGTTGCGACGAAGACAATTCGTTGTATACATTCTGTTCTATAACGTGGCAGTAGTGGCATTCCTGCAGAACACCGCGTTATGGCATAATTGCGTAACAAATAACATAGAGCAAAGCAGTCTGCGATAGCACATGATGTGTAATGCAGGCCGGACAAACACCGAGGGTGCTGTGGGGTGGATCCAGCAGCATCCCAGTGTCTGACGTTACACCGAGGCAGCTGTATTACAACCACTTAGTCCTACCCGTGCGACGTATTTCTTGTCGCTCTATTGTGTTTATATAGCCAATTTGCGTTTATTAAAACACGCGATTATAGAACGGACTCGGATGCATCAAGATTGCACAAGGCAACGACAAGGCAGTCCCAGACCCCACCAAGCGCAACTGGGTCCCGTGTTGAACGTATGGAGTGACGCTTCACATTTGGGGGTCAAGCCGCTCGTGCTTGCGTCTCCTACGCAGTGTGCGCGACGATCCTTGGGCATGCTTGTGCTGTGTGTAACGGCCTCGTCTACGCTACAACGCGGGGCTGGTGAGGAATCCTTGAGCGTCGCCTCTGCAAACGCATTTGTCCTGTCACGCACATGGCCTGGTATCCCGCTATACTGTAAATCGGCTGTGATCCATCCACTGCTGGATGAAGGGCCCCCACCCCAAGCTCTCACCACCTCTCGCAATCCCACGATTTGTAAAAAAATAATCCACCCGACCAGCTGCTCTGTGCACACGAGCAGATTTTTAACACGGCTCCATCTCCCTTACCTATATGACGAGTGAACACTGGGCTGTTGCCTGTACTGAATAAGAGTAACCAGCCAAACATTTTAGTGGTGTAATAACCCAGCCACTTGGCCTCCCAGGCTGGTGTGCTGTTTTTGGCAAGGCCTTCTGCACGCAAACACCGCTCTGGTGATGTGGGCAAGGCAGTTTGGGGACACTGCAGTTGCCAGCCTGCAGACATTGCGACGGGCCGTCTTATACTTACGAGGATATTTGTTCAGGAGAGGGTTTTTGGGGTTGAACGAAAAATGTATAATTGGGGGGGGGTACTGGAGACGTGGGGAAGTAACGGTGACTGACCGGCGAGTGTGTCGGGGTGAAGTGTTGGAATAATTTTACTTTGGGTTTCCCCACGTGCTTTTTACCGTTTGTAAAAAAACACATTGCAGCAGTTGCGGCGCGGTTTAATTTGTGAAGATTAGAACGCAGGCGTGTGTTTTAACTTTGCGTGTCACCACTAACAATTGCACACATTTTCTGTCTCTGCTGTTGGGCGGAAGAAGAGCGTTTTGGTCCATTTTCCCACGGTGCCCCCCACACTCCCTTCCTCCCCCTGAGGTCTGGGCCCAGCCGCTTTTCCATGGCCAGGCCCCACCGGGTTACCCCACGAGATTTCTCCAATTATACCGGTTGGCCGTGGAAATCAATTCCGGTGCCACCCACGCCTCGCTTCCCCCGGAGTCTTGCTCCGTTCTGGCTCAAGCGTCTGCTCCTGGCCCCACGGGCTCCTGGTGCCACCACCCCCTGTGCCCCTCCACCCCCCTCGCCTGGGGGAGGGGGGTGGGGGGGGGGTTATTTATGCTCTGCGCTACCGCTTGGAATTCTCCCCTGCCGCCTTTGTTTTCCCTCTACTGCCTCATTTTTGCGAGGTCCACACGCGCCCCCCCGCCCCCCCCCACTACTGATCTGCGTGCGCCCTCTGCCGTCGGCCGAGTGCGTTCTGTCAAACCCCGGAATTGTCAAAAGTAAAGTTTTTACAGAAATCGCTCCCTCGGCTTGTCCACCGTGTGTGCGTGCGTGGTGTTTGTGTGCGTGGTGTTTGCTGCTTGTTGTGGGGAGTTGCACGGCTGTTCGCGCACTGCACTACAATCCTGGCAAGCCACGGTTCGAGTTCTGCTCACGGCCACCAACACCGCTGACGATTGTCTGCACCGATCCTGCCCCTCTCCACCGTTGACTCGGCCTCATGAGTGCTTGGTGCGGTGTGCAAAACCTCGCCAAATCAACTTTTATTTTAGCAGGTGTAAGGGCCCACTGAGCTCTGTGTAGCGCTCTTTCGAAGTGATCTGGCTGCCACAAGTTACAGCTCGACAAAGTGGCTTACGTGGAACATGGCAGCCAAATGAAACGCTTGTTTCGAAATGTGGAGGGAAAAACTGGGGGACCCGGAGAATAATCTCCTGCGACCACGGGAAGAACATGCCAACTCCAAATATACAGGCATCGGTTTTTTATTCTTTTGGTAAGTCACGTAGAAAGAAAAAATAATATAATTCGACGTTTCGATTGCAACAAGCAACCATCAGAACTAAATTTGAGAGACATGGAGACAGACAAGCAGAGAGACACAACAGAGACCAAATGCCTCTGTGTCGAGGCCTTAGAGAGGTGGGTCTGCTAGAGGAGAGAAATCCACGTCACTGAAACCACCCCGAAGCGACGGAGAGAAAGATCGAATGGCCCTATGAGAGCCTGGCACATTTTAGAGAAATCGGCAGTTTGAGAAAACAATTTAGCAATTTTTTGGGAAATGTAATGCAATGCAAAAGTTGGCTAACAGTTGACGCATAGCCTGGTTCATTACGATCTCCGAAGATTGCTAAAATTAGACGTTAAGTGTGAAATTTGACAGATGTGTGCATTGCATTACATTTCCAAAAAAAATGCTACGTTTTCTTAAACTGCCTATTTCTCTCTAAAATGAACCAGGCTCTCATCGGTCCATTCGATCTCTCGCCCTCTGTCGCTTCGGGGTGGTTTCAGTGGCGTGATCATTTCTCTGCTCCAGCAGCTGCTCCAAAAGACCCACCTCTCTCTCTGCACCCCCCTCTCTAAGGCCTCGACACAGGCATTGGGTCTCTGTGTGTCTATGTTGTGTGTCTCCTGTGTGTCTATGTTTTGTCTCATTTAGTTCTACCTGATGACGGTTGCTTGTGTTGCAATCGAAACGTCGGATTCTATTTAATTTATTTTCTTTCTACGTGAGTACCGAAAGAACCATAGAGTAATTCCTACAGTCACGAAAGCTTCAAATCAAGTTTAATACAGGCATCGGGTTGGGATAGATCCCACGAACTGTAAACCAGGCGAGGGCCGTTAACATCTTTCCATCGTGGCACCCCAAACACGGAGGGAGGAGGTGGAGGCATTCCAGCTGTGGAAATTCGCCACTCCATTACCCCCTACATGATAATCAGGCTCATCAAATACCTCCACGCAAAATCACTGCCGTTTTCCGTCAACAGCCGTACGACGATTAAGGCCTCAATAGTCTCACTGAGACCCAATCCACTCGCATAGAGATTAACAGCCTCGCACTGGGATCTATAACTTCGCATACAAACCCATAGACACGCACAGATCGAGAGATTCACATACATTTTGCAGCAGGCAAAGTATATATTCGCAAAGGCAGCTGTCCTACGTAAAGCGACATCACTGATTCGATTTGAAAGTGAAACCTCAACACGCCCATCAACAATCCTCATCGTGTGGTTGATGTTTGATGCCGAGTCGAAGCAGTGGTTCCACATCGAGATGGTTGATGAGCCAGATGACTGCGCCTCGAGTAGCGGAGTGGTGAATCATCTGGATGAGACCTATGGGTCTCTGATGTGAGTATATGGGCATCTATGTAAGTCTATAAGCATGGGTTTCTGTGCGAGTATGGTTCTCTGTGAGTATCGGTATCTGTGTGAGTCTATAGGTCTCGCGCCACCCGCTTCACTGTGTACGTTAAAGAACCCGTGATGTCATTTACAAAGAGCAGGGGGATCGCGTGCAGCAGCAGTAGCATCGCCCCCTACCGCCATACTAACGCACACACGGGCAGCTGCCACTGGGGGTGCCCCTAGGCTTGCCCACACAGAAGCAGCAGCAACATCGCCCCCTACCGCCAGACTAACGCACAGAGGGGCAGCTGCCACTGGGGGTGCCCCTAGCTTGACCACACAGAAGCAGCAGCAACATCACCCCTACCGCCAGACTAACGCACACACGGGCAGCTACCACTGGGGGTTCCCCTAGGCTTAACCATACAGAAGCAGCAGCAACATCGCCCCCTACCGCCAGACTAACGCACACACGGGCAGCTGCCACTGGGGGTGCCCCTAGGCTTAACCACACAGAAGTAGCGGCAGAAATACCAACGTCACCCCCTTCTGCAAAACTCCCGCAGGCTGCGTGCGTCTCGCGTGGTTCCCTTGCTCCTGTGTCACGATCGCGCCATTGCCACCTCCCCCCTAAGTTGTAAATTCGTCAAAGGCTCGTCAACCAAACCTCAGGGGCTCGTAACCTCCCCCCCCTCTCCCATGGGGAGAATGGTTTGGTCTGAGTGTAAAACCCTCACATCTGGACATTCTCCCTGTGAGGTCACGGGGGTCGTGGGAAGGTGTGTGGTGGTGAGCAGGGGTCGACTGCGCAAATCAACAGTGACCTGGGTTCGATTCCTGGATGTGGCGAACATCAGCATTGGCGGGGGGGGGAGCAATGAATTCGTTCTAAGCATCACCCCTGAGTCGACAGTCTCGTATGAGTGCCTGGTACAAAGTGTAGACATAGACACTGGGGAGACAAAGGTGGCTGAGCAGAGCGAGGCCACACCACCGACTCTCACCACTCACCAGTATTGCCAACTCTGAGTTGGAAAACCCAGGACGTATCAACAGAGGAAGACGAATATTTCCCAATGTAATTTGTTCTCTTGAGTGCTACATTGTTAATATTGTGATAGAATGACAACAAAAACTCAACACGGCGTTTTGGGCAACGACCCTTCTCAATAGCGCATAGCAGCGACTTCCTCAACACCAGGACGAACTTCGGGAAAATTTAACCGGTGACAACCCTACTTACCACTCAGTCATTCATTCAGCCACCCACTCACGCACTTAGTCACTAACCCATCTTCCATTCATTCACCCAATAACAGCCACCATTTGCTTCTAAGTGGCAGTGACATCACCAACGGCGCTTGTGCCAGGTTAGGTGCACTTTGAGGTCACGTAAAGTGTCGAAAGCTGGCTGGTAGGAGGCCACTCACTTGTGGGGGCCGACATCCACCTCCCCACTCCTCCTCGTCGGTCGCCTCTCGCCGGGCCCCCTCCGATCAGGTGATCGCCCCCCCTGTGCCAGCGCCCTCTCTGAGCGACATTGCTAATTGGCTGGCTCACCACCGCCCGGGGTTATCTCGCACACATCCACGTACACCACCACCAATACGAAGGCGGCTGTGTGCACGCGCGCGCCCCTGCAGGCGCTCGTTTTACACAGTCTAGCGCTAAAGAAAACGGCGATGTGAATATGCGGGGGGGTTAAGCCCTAATCCGCTTGCACGCAAAGGCAAGCTCTAAACGGCTGCGTGAATTTGCGCACGCGCCTCCCCGTTAATGCGAGGCGCGAGCTTTGGCGACCGTGTACGTTTTAATACACGCGCGCCGCACACACACCCTCAAATTACCAACACCACGCCGAAGTTCCACCCACACTCAGAAATCACACTGCACCGATACTCTGTACTAAATTGTATTAATGGTGACAATACACACTACCTGGAGGGGGAAGATTTTGCAAGAAGGACTCAGCCTCACTCTGCCTACGATCCCAGTCACTCAAGCGTCCTACCACGTACCTCGAAGCTGGACTCACGGCGTCGCACGGACGCTGTGAGAGTCGGAGGGAGAAGGACGGGAGAAAAAGCTTTACCTATCAATGCCTCGTAGCAGCACTCGCTGGCATCACACGGAGGCTGTGAGCGGCTCGAGGAGGCAGGACGGCAGGGAAGTGGGTCTCGACGGTCCGGAAGTTTAAGACAACCGCCCGAAATCGTCCCGGGCTGCTCTTTTTATTCTCTTAACTTCAAAGGCCCGGGGTGCCATTGTACCGCGCGGCCAATCGTGCGCTTACCTGTGGTTACCGTCCCCACCCCCCCCCCCCCTGTTACCGTGTCTTCCCTCAAGTGCTACGTCGCTGCGGGCTGCGGGCAGCGAGCGGCGGCGGCCCCCCATTGTCCCTTTGTCTGGAAGAGCTCTCGCGCCGCCCTTCTTGCTCAATGTCCTCTGTTCTCCCCCCCCGAGTTGTACCTAATTGCGGTTGGCCCAGGGAACCTTTTTCTTTCTGCACCCATACAATGTCACCTGCCCTACGGGAGTCGGCCAATCTCCTGGCACCGGGAAACCGTGGGACTTTCCCTCTAGGGGCCCTTCGGACTAAAACCCGATGTGCCAGGCGACCCCCCGCCAGGACACGACGTGGGTGCGCTGCGTGCGGGTTGTGTGTTTAGGGCAGGGGCCGGGGAGGGAATCACGGCGCTTGCGGAGTTTGCTCCGTGTTCGTGGCACCACGCAATCACCCTCTATGCTGCACTCAAACACTTATTCACCCAGCCACCTACCTAACCCGCCTACTCCCTTAAGCACCCCAAGACCCGTAGACAACTTCGCAGGACAGCAACCACCTCGTTCAAGAAGAATGACGAATCGTGGAAAACGGGGAGAGGTGGCAACACCAGGACCACCTCGTGGGAGCCAACGTCTCCCTCTTGCACCTGTGCGGGTGGGAGAAGGGGGCAGGAGGCAGGGTACAGATGGAGGCGGTGATAAAGGAGCAAGGTCACGGAGATAAGCGCGGATATAAGAGGCGATTGCTAGACGACGGCGCACATCAGTCGCCTGTTGCCTCGACCGCGGTCAGCATCTCTCTCTCTCTCGCCATGATCTATCTACTACTCGCCGCCCTCGTGGGTGGTGCCGGTAAGTGCCGTGCAGCAGCGATGGCGCGCCCACCCCTGCGTGAACGACCGCGTCCCCACGACGAGCGACCTGGCAGTACAGTCCGTCCTCCTACAACGTGGCGGTAGTAGTTGAGTTCCTGAAGACCACTGCATTGTGGGAAAAATCTCGT